CCAACCTGTGGGCCACAACCCACTACTGAGCCGAGGTCTGCTGGCTACCAGGCTGTGGAACAGGCTGGCCAGTGTGTGCACGTGTACTCACCCCCACCGCTGCCACTACACAAATAGGATGCCGTGTGGCAAAAATGAGGTATCACATGGCAAAAACAGGGTGCTGCATGGCGAAAACGGGATGGTGCTAGTGCCCACATAGCAAAAATGGCAGTGCTAGTGTCACGCAATGCTAGCACTGCCCCGTTTGTGTCATGCCTACTCATGCGTGTGCATAAATGGTTCCCCCTTCCTTTCCCTCCAGTCTGCCAACCAAGAAAGGCTGGAGACCTCTTGCTATATAGTATTGCCTCCTGACCCTTCATGTACAGAGTTGAGTAGAAAGGTTAAAAAGGTTATGTACATATTCCCAATGAATTCACATTTTATTGTTCAATCCTGAAGAGCATTTTATTTCATAACATTTTAATAATATGGGATTCGTCTATGATTATAATAAAATTCTGTTTGATTACATTGTGGAGTTCAAAATGGCTGCAGATATAGTAAAGATACTTGAAAGAGCCTATGTTGCTTGTTTCCTTATCTAAATAAGTGAATTTGAGTGATAACTCTGGTACGTTTAATCTAAGTAATCAGTACTTTGAGATGCTGTACTAGTTGGATCATTCTTTGTTCCAAAAACATAAAATTCCATTTTCAGCAGTAGAATGTGCAAATGTGTATCTCTCAGAATCTCACTGTTAGCCTCCTGTTTTATATTGCTGTGGAGAAAAAAAAAATAATGTGCTAAGCATGCCTGAACTTTTTTTTTTATTGTTCAAATATTGTAATGTCTATGCCAGTGGCTTCTTAAAAGTGATTGATTCCAAATATCTTTGGTTAATGTGGGTTATATCTTTCAATATTTACTGTATAATATTAAAAATTAAAACTGAGAAATTTTAAAATATTTATTTAAGTTTGCAAATCCCCTGAAAGGATCTCAGGGATCTCCACAGGTTCCCAAATTACACTTTAAGATCTGCTGGTCTTTGACATGTACTTTTTCCAGGACTGTACTTTTTTATTTTTATGTTGCATTGTATGCTCATTACTACTATTCTAGTTGGTCACCATCTTCTAAATTGGACAGGCAATTAATTTTCCCAAAGGGTCAGATGAGAAACTGGGACTGTTGTAGAGGTACAAATCAATAGGGCTATAAAGTTGCATATGCATGCACATATGTAAATTGAAAAAAATTGCAATTCAGTTGTATTGCATGCATGACGAATATTTATTTATATATAATTTTTAATTTCTACTTGACCTCGTGCAGTCCAGAGATAGGCAAAGAGAAGATGTGCCCTGGGGCCGTAAAATATCTAAGTCTGTTCTAAATAATCTTACTCTCTCAAAATGTATTTAGAAATTGAATAACATTGATAACAATAAGGATTCTTAAAATGATTAGATAATTTCCTAATACCCCAAAACAAGAAGTGTTGAAAAAGCAACAGATCTTTAAAATGGTGACTAGATAGATCATTCTAGTTGGACAGTATCATTTTAGTATGTCTGCACAGATTATTGTACTTTTCAGCTCCAATTACCTAGGAAAGGAATCCTTATATATTTTAGACTGATTAAAGACCATTATATATAAATACATAAATATATAAGGAAGCCTGATATATTTTATATTGATTAAAGACCTTTATACATAAGTTAGTTCAAAAATTAAGACATCTAAGGGAAAGGAGAGAGCTACAGCAATAATGAATGTTACAATATTTCTGGATGTATCTGCCATTTTAAAAATAAGGAAATTTTTCTCTAAAAACATCTTAATTGTGACTATAATCAGCTTCTCAAAAGACTGAATCAGTCATTGCATCTACATTATCATATCAATTCAGTTAAGATTTAAAATGAAAAATAGAAGGAAAATTATCAGCTTCTTGCACCATCTATACCACTCATATTGCTCGTGCTTTGTACTAACTAGAACTGATTTAATTGTATAATGTAATTCTGATAAACACAGAAAAACTACTATGGAAGATGAGGCTTAGTTCAGTGCTAAAAAAGATGGAACAAAAGGACAAATCCTAATAAGAGCATCTTTTCTCCCTGAACTTAAAGCACATTTTCCTTCCTTTTTTTCAATTACAGGCAGTGGTCTTATCTAGTCTTGACTAAAAATATCAGTTCCAAAACAGAGACTCATCTAATCAAGCATTATAATCAATAACAGCCAACAGAAGTATCAAATGAAACTTTGATAGAAATGAAATTAATATTTGTCCTGTATTCAGTTCATCTCAGCGTTTTGCATTCAGAGATACTGGCTGTGCTTACAAATAGTATTCCTGAGTAGGGACAAACCTTATTTCCTTTTGTAAGGAAGGGCAACTCTGGGGAATATGAGGAAACTAAATGACAAGGGCCTAATCATATAATCGACAATCTGTGATTTGCATGATGACATCACAATACCTGTCATTTTGATATCATAGTTTACTACTGATACGTATGTTCTCAGCTCAGACATATTATTTTTATTCTTGTTATTTTAGCTAATTGTGCCTCTAAGTCAGGGGTGTCAAACTGCCGGCCAATGGGCCGGTTGCATCATACGGAGGCTGCACCCATCCCAGCTCTGGCAAAAAAAAGTCATGATACATCGTGACACGTCATGTGATGCAGTGAGTTTGACACCTGTGATCTAAGTGGATTCAATCAGGAGGGCATACCCACCAATGCTTCTGAACAATTCTTCAAAATTGTTATTTAGGGTTAATATGTTATTGCCATAATTTAATACTTTGCCTAAACTATAAATAATTGAGGAATGTATGTAAATGAGCTTTAAGTATACATGACTATGGAATTTGATTATGTGACATTAGGGTCATTTTTCTTCAGTTAAAATTCATGTGCTACTACAGCTGTAATATAAATTTGTAACACAGGAAGGAATGAGTCAAGGTAGCAAAAGTTTGTAAAAGGTTTATAGGATTATGTCTTCAGACAGGCAAACTTTCTTCCCAATATCTTAAAAAATGTTTATACCTCATTCCAGTATGTGCCATGACAATATTTGATAGACTTTCCTGATTTATATCATCTATTTTGGCTTGTTAGGTTTTGGTTGAGTATTTTGTCCTAATCCTAGCCATTTTTAGTTTAGTTAATAAAAGATAGCTTAAAAATTTGAATAGTCTGTTAATTAATCTGCAAATATTGTAATTTTTTTCAAAAGCAGTAATCATTTTTGTCTGAAGCAAAAAAAATCCTGAACACAGTAAATTTATTAAATTAAGTTCAGAAGAAATGCAAGTTGCAAATATGCAGGAAAAAAATTTATGAATGGGAGGAGGGAATATGGATTCTATAGAAATGTATAGTTACAACAATTAAATGAGACTGTAATACATTCACAATATTTTGCCACCATCTTGTCACTTAAGTCTTTCTGAATTCTGATTTTTACAATCAGCCATATTTGTTTTGCTTGATCTTCTATTTTTGTTTAACCGGGGTACTCTATAAATGGAAAAATCTAATATAAAATACATACAACATATATATTGCAGATTATCTTGAACTCTTTATATGCATTGTGTAATCTTCATATTCATTGGATTTTTATTAAATGAGAAGTATTCATATAAGCCCCCACAAGGAATTTGAAATGTATAATCCAGCTATGAGTTCTGGTCTTGGTCTGTTCTAGAGTAAGACTCAATCTCAGCAATATGGAGTGGCTCTGGATTTGAAGGCTTGGTGATTACATTGATGATTCCTTTTTTCCTCCAAACTAGGTAACCCATGACCTATTGGATCATTTCAGAGATATTTTCTCCTTAAATTGTTAAGCGGCATGAACATGAAAAGTGAATTCCTATTTCCTGCTTGCTCCCCCTTAACGTTGCTTATGGGAAGCTGGTTAGGGAGTATTGGGAAGCTGGTAGGGAGTATTGGAAATCATGATCACCTGGCTGTAGCAGCTCTGCAGGGTGATGTGGTGCTACAGCAGTTATAACTTTGCTAATACAACTGGTATTAAGGTCCTATTCTTAAAATTTCAGTCCCTTGGGGATAATGGGTCCTAGATTTTTGAAGCATTTTTTAAGTTAGTCCACTTGAGAGATTCAAAAATTGTTCCTTTATAATGCATTGCTTTGCCCAGTTGAAGTTACAAATGACAAAGAGTTTTAGCTGTATATAAATAGAATAACAGTTGCTTAAACATCTGGTTTACTTGGTTTGACAACTCATACTTGAGGTGGAAGCTGTGGTCAACAGAAGTCTGCACAGCCTCATACTGTGCACCAGTTACAACCATTTTCAGGAATCCTCACTCAGAGGCTATAATCACTATTACATCCAAGACATCTCTTGGTTGAACTATTGCAATGTATTCTATATGGGACAGCTTTTGAAAAGCATTTGGAAGTTAAACCGCAACAGCTCTGAACCAGTTGTAATGAATGAATACACCTTGAGGCATCCATGTGCAATTCAAGGTGCTGGCTGTTACCTTTAAAATCCTTTATGATTTAGGACCTGATATCTGTAGGATTGCCTTCTCTTGATGAGACCTGCTGTCCAATAAGATATAGCCATACAGCTCTTTCTGTATTCCCTTAGAGATTGCCACTTTAGAGGCAAGAGAAATCTTTTCAGTCACCTCCATCCCCACCTCTGGAATAGTATCCCCTTAGATATCATCACCTATTTTTCAGAGTCAGTGATAAGCTGGCTATTCTAAACAGGCCTAGGGCCAGGCTATCCTCACAAACAAATAATTTTCACTGTATTTCAAATATGCATACATTTTAAATGATTATAATTTTATGGTTTTAGTATTAAATTTTTGTTTTAATCCCAAATTATGGTTTTGTAAAGTCTATTGATTGAAAGGGATTGTAAATAAAGAACTCAAATTGCAAATGCTATGGTGTGGTATATGGTCTTTAATGCTGAAATAGGCTGTAGCACAAGTTGCATCTGACAAGCTTGTTTGTGGTTTATATGCATTTGTTCCAAAGGAAGTTCTGCCTCTTGTGGTAAGTGCTGATAGGATAAACCTAAAGGAAGGTGATAAGGAGTCAAGAAATTCTTTAGCCCCAGCACCTCAGTACTGATATAATACTGATAATTGTAATCATTTCTTTCACAATGTGTCTTATTTGAATAAGCTGACGGTCACTTTTTTCTGCTGGAAACTGTTAAATTAAAATATCCGATATGCGGTTTTAAATACCTGTGTGTATAACAGATTTGCACTCCTCTCGATTAATTCTATAGAATTTTTGATGTCACAGAGCCCTGTCTTACAGAGGAGAGAACAAAGTGGCAAGGAAAGAAATGAAAATAGGATTTAGAGAGAATATTGAGTGGCCACCCTGCTGCAGTACGTTTAAACCGAGCTGGGCCAGGCACGTCAACTGTCTCTCTAGCAAGAGGCTCGGGCCTGAGAAGATGCTTCCGGTTTCTCTACGGCTGAGGCGTGTATTTTCTCCCATATCTTCCTCCAGGCGGCAGTGATGGACTCGTCTCTCCTTCACTCGTTTCCCAACGTGTGAAGGCGGGGGGGGGGTGTCGTTGCCTCCGCGGCGCCCGAGCAATTACAGTGCTTCGAGAAAGACTAGAGTGCCTTCGGCCCGGCGAGAGTGTCAAAAGCGCCGCTCTTTCGTGCCCGTTATTCGTGCCTGCGCCGCGCGCTCTTCATCAGCGCCGTGCCCGCGCCTTTGCGCGATGCAGTGTGGGAATGGCTGTGGCGCTGGGGTTGGCTGAAAGAGGCGGCCAGTCGAGGTTTAATGTCCGCCATGTTGGCCGTGGCGTACTGAGCAGACCGGGAGCGGCGAGGAGAGAAACCGGCGCCCTAGCCTGGCCGCGCCACCCGGCGCCGCTGGGACCCGCCTCGGAGCGAGCCCCGCCCCGCCGCGGGAGCCCCGGTCCCTCCATGAGAGCTCTCGGCGGGGTCCGGCTCTCAGCTCGGAGCGCTCTCGCTGCCTCCCCCCCCTTTGCCGGAGCAGCAGCAGCCGCCATAGCAGTTGCAGCCGCCGACGACTAACATGAGCAAACTGTCGTTTCGGGCCCGGGCGCTGGACGCGTCTAAGCCGCTTCCCGTCTTCCGCTGCGAGGACTTGCCCGACCTGGCCGAGTATGCCTCGATCAACCGGGCCGTGCCGCAGATGCCCACGGGCATGGAGAAGGAAGAGGAGTCGGTACGTGAGAGACCCCTTCCCGTCCCTACTCCGGCCGGGCCCCGCCATCGCCCTGTACCCAGGCCCCCACCATCGCCTCTGCGCAAGCACAAAATGGCCGCCATTTTCTCCCCGCTTCCTCCCCCTTCCCTCCCCCTATGGGAAGAGGGTGATGTTGAACCCTAATAGACCCGTCTGCCTTCCCTGTGTATGCCTTCCTAAGATATCTGTATATATCGATTGGAGTGTCAAGGCCGCCTGCCGGGCTCCCCTCAGCCTCACTAAAGGCACAAAGGGGGTCACGTGATTCGGCGGGCAGCCGCCATTTTGTTATGCCTCTAGTTCGTTGGGCTGGGCCGTAATACCGCAGCAGCTGCGAGAATGCGAGCTGAAACGGCGCGGAGGTTCCGCTCATTGGACACTAGGTGGCGTCTTTGTATTCTAATTAGCGGTCAGGCTACATGGATGGTTTTGAGGTTTACCAGTCTGGAATTTGCTGCTGTCAGTTCTGTAACTACCAGCTAAGTTATGGGAAGAAAGGTAGGCTTTTGAACTGTTTGGATAAGTGATAAAGAAGGTGCATGGTTCCATTTACAGGAAAAATTACAAGAAATAAGATAAAAAACCTGGTTACTGGTTGATGCTATTTAACTGAAGAGCCCCCTGGAAATATATTGCTGTTTTCCCCAATAAAATTGGCTTGTTGAATTCATTCAACTGGTATAGAGAAACAGTTAAATTAATCTGGTCATTTCACCAAGTTTTAAAAAGCCACGAGATTGGTACTAATTAAATTCAGGTTTGAGCAAGCAGCAATAAAAACAGAAACAGGACTTAGAAATCACATATAATGTTCACTTACTAAAATATTCATCTTTTAATCTTTTAATGTAGCAACTTTAATCATGTTTACTGAAGTACAGAATATGAAATTTTCTTTAGCATATAGGAAGTGCACAATCTTAAAAAACTGGATAAATCACATAAATGGCAAAAAAATACTAAAGAAAAGTTAGTAACATATTAATACATGCATCATACTTGATTGTAGCACAGAATCCTTGGCATCAAATGTTTCAAGATTAAATTGTAACATGTTTGTCTCATTAACGTGGTGTTTAAATAAAAAAGCATGCTCTATTTAATTCATATATGTAATAGCCTTTTTAGTAAAATGTGCTTAATATCAATTTGAAAACTCTTTATTTGTTCCTTGAGACCCTGGGTTAATAATAAGTTTGGGAATTAAAAATTAGGCTGCATATAGTTTATCTTGAGTTTGTGCAGCTGCCCACATTTGGATAGATAGAGATGCAGTGGCTTCAGATCCTGCTGTTAGAAATTAACAGATTGATCATATGTGTTTCCTGAGATATTAATACTCTTAAATTCAGTAAGACTGTCTTACAAGTTAGATCATATAAAATTGCATTTTAAAATTCTGGACAAGAAGTTCAGAAAGAAGTCAAAACTATAAGAAAAGTTGAAAAGAATGCAAGCATAAAAGGTTTTAAATGAGTCATGCATAGACTTACTTATAAATTATGTCGAAACTTATAGCTTGGATATTCCTGAACTGTTCAACTTTGCTAAGTCAGGTATCCCTAAATTTGTGATCATCTCAGTCCTAGAGGAGATTGTTCTTTAGAAGGCCTGACTCACTGGAGAAGGGCCTAATGCTGGGAAAGATTGAGGGCAATAGAAGAAGGGGATGACAGAGAATGAGGTAGATGGATGGAGTCACTGAAGGAGTAGGTGTGAGCTTAAATGGACTCCAGAAGATGGTAGAGGACAGGAAGGCCTGGAGGAACGTTGTCCATGGGGTCACAATGGGTCGGATACAACTTCGCAGCTAACAACAAGAACAGGCATGTCAAACATGTGATATCATGTGATGTATCACGATTTTTCCCCATTGCCAACAATGAGGTGGGTGTGGTTTTGGTGATAGGTATCTGGCCCGTGGGCCGGCAATTTGACATGCCTGATCTAGAGTCTAGAAGTTGTTGAAACCTTTATGCAAAAGCAATCCTTAAAATAAATGGAAATTAGGCAGTAATGACTACATAACAATTTGGAATGTGAAGTAGAGCAGGGCTTTTCAACTAGTGGTATGGGTACCACCTGTGGTACATTGGCACCTGGAAGGTGATAAATGACCATCCTAGAAAAGTGGTAGCGGGGGAGGGGAATGAGCTGAACTGGTGGCAACACTGCACAAGCCTGAGCGAGAGAATGCTGGAGCTGCAGGGCTGTCAGGGCTCAGCGGAAGCGCCAGAATCAACGCCAAGCTCCAGCTGGAGCTCAGCGCTGATTCTGGAGCTTCTGCTGAGCCCAGAAGAAACGCCGATCAGCTGGAATGTTGCAGCATCTCCAGGGTCTTGTGATTTACATTCAGATGCTTGCCAACTGATTCATATTTATGACAGTCACAGTGTCCCAGGGTCATGTGAAGTGACCAAAACCTGCTGCAACCATCCAGCAGACGGGGGAAATAAAAACCAAACACCCCCCACCCCATCCCCACTGCCAATCCTCAACAGAAATGTTCACAACAATGCAAACCTCGGACAGGAGGAAGAGTGTGGGCGGGCAGGCAGGTATCTTGCTCGTCTGTGGCTTGGGGGGCACTTTTTTCAGTGCCATTGTAACTTCAAACAGTCACTAAGCAAACTATTGTAAGTCGAGGACTATCTGTACTTTATCTCTTTTTTCTTTTTCTTTCTTTTTTTTGGGGGGGGGGGTCATCAAGTTTTTGATACCTTGCTAGGTGACTGGTAGTACTTGGATTTTGCCATATCCTAAAAGTGGTACAATGGGTGAAAAGGTTGAAAAGCCCTGAAGTAGAGAAACTCCTGTTGATTAAGTTTGGCATATTTAAGAAAATGCCTGTAAGAATTAGAACTTTTCTTAAACATATAAGCTATATTTGTCTGGCAGTTGCTTGAAAAATATGGAACAATATTTGGATTAAAGAATTTTACTTAATAAAAGTGAGAGCACAAGACTTTACTGTAAATAAATAAATAAACATACAAGACTTAGAGGAAATTAAATGGACTATAACCAAATAGATAATAATACAAAATATTTAGAGTCCATCAACATATTATTGCAGTATGTCCCTAAGAGGACAGGTCTAAAGACAGTCTGGAACAAGAACACAGTTGTCTTGGGCAAGCTACTTTGGGAGAGAAATTTGGGCGTGGGAAAAGAATAAAATTTCCAGATAGTTACCATTGGAAGTAGCGGCCCAGAAGGCACCTTACTTAACTCTCATTTTAATTTTAATTAAAACTGGGAAAACTGATACATTGCAAAACATAAACTTCTAATGCCATCTTTATTTCCAAGAACAGTAATTCATAATCATCTTAGAAGAAACAAATGCTGGCTGCAATTTGAATGCTTTTTTTGAGATAAGACCACAGGCCAGCGGACGGAAGAGGAGGAAGAAGAAAAAGAAAGGATGTGACAAAAGACTGGTTTCAATCATTTGCTATATGGTAAATGAATGCCCCAGTAAATCCAAATATATCTACAAATAATAGTTGCCCATGCCCAAGACCATCTTTTTTTGTGTAATATAGAATCAACTACTATATAACTGTAATAACAAAAAAAATACGTTAGATTCTGAACTTCATCCCCAAGTCTACCCATTCTTTCAACTAGAATTAGAGGAACTATTATTGTCCTGTCCTGCATGTATCTTTCAGGGTTTCTGGTTGTTTACAGTAGATATTCTAACCCAGTGGTTCTCAACCTTTCTAATGCTGCGACCCCATAATACAGTTCCCCATGTTGTGGTGACCCCCAACCACTTATACATCACCGGGTGCCAGGGGCATGGCCAAAGAAAAGGGGGAAAAAATGGCAGACAGCCTTGTTTGGCGACCCCCGTGAAATGGTCGTTCGACCCCAAATGAGGTCCCGACCCACAGGTTGAGAACCACTGTTTGATGTCTTTCTCATTTAAGAAAATACATATTTCTTTGAGAAAAACAAATCAAAATCTTGGATTTAAATTTCATAATATATTACCCAGATTTGTTTAATTTGCTTGAATTATCAGGCTTTGTCTAATAGCACATTTATGCATAGCAACTTTGGATAAGATAAATATCCTATGGTTAGTTGCCAACATGACCTGTATACATAAACTCTCTTAATCATAAACTGGTTAAGATTTCTTTAGATCATTGCTTGCTTTGTTTGTTTCTTTCTAAACTTATTGCTGCATGTCTCCTGTATAGATCCAGTTATTAATATTCTATGTATTTACAATAGCATGTTTTAATGTACAGGTCTGCATATTGCTAGATACTCATGTCACCTATGTTTATTGCTGTAGGGTGGACATGAAATTCAAAATTGTTTTTCTCCTTTGTATAAAAATTGTATCCAGGGTTAATATAGCACATTTGTTTGTGCTTCAATGTAAACAGGATTGCTGCAAAGAATGAAATCTACTGAAATTTCAATAGTGATGACATGTTTAATTCAGATAAATAATATGAGATCAGATATTCTCAGTTGACAATAGAATAATAGTATTCTTGATGCTGTTTATTTGGAGAATTTGCTATCAGTTTCAACAAGAGTCCATTTCCTATAATAGTATTGGAATATAGAATGGAGAGGGTTATGACTATAATATTAAGAATTTGAATATGCAAAATAGCTTTATGAATAAATGAAACTTGAATATGGAACACATAGCTCAATTATCCATTTTTGCAGTGCAGAAAAAAAATTCCAGTTGCATTACTATTAGAATTTTAATTCCTTCTATTTCCTCTTTGACTGCTTCCATTTAATTCTTTCTTCTCCTCATTTTTGGAAGTTAGACAGAGTAAGTAAAGAAATAATGAACCAGTTTTCCCCAACTGTATATTAAATTGAGGCTTTTCTCTATGTGACAGTAATGATTGATTTCGCAAGTTAAACCGTGCTTTGCTTAATTGACAAGATTCATATAACAAACAGTCCAATCCAAATAGACTATGTTTTTTTATTTT